TAAATATTTTGCATTTTAGACAAATTTTTTCATCTGTCAATATCCTCTATGCAGAACTCCTCAAGTGGGTCAATTACATAAACAATCTTCTTTAAGAAACCTTTGGCTATCCGATTATTTATCGATTCATCGAAAAAATAATCAACAGATTAATCGATTTGCAAATTGTTAGTTGCAGCCCTAAGTGTTTTATACATGCAAGGAATTAGATGAGGTGATAAGAGTACTTAAAACAAAGAGTACTTAATTAAATACAACTGGACTGATAAGACTAACAAGAAAAATAAAATTAGCTAAGCTTCTAATAAAAATAAAAAAGTATGCTTAACTTAACAGCAGAATGAACAAAAATAAAAAAGCATTATTGCATTGCCCTCGAAATATGTTTTTTAAAAGTGTAAAATCCCTGAATGTATTGTGAAGTGCTTTGATGTCCTAAGACTTGATAAAGCCGAATACAACAACAGGCTTTTTAACATTAAGATGAAAGGAAAATTATAAGCAGTCAAAATGCTACAATAACCATGAGTGCAAACCTTATTTAAAATAAATAGAACATTTAGAAATGTCATGTTGCCAGGTACTTAAAAGGAAAAAGAAATAGAGTATGGGCTGGAAACCCCAAGGTCAAAGTGGGAAACACCCCCAAAGATGATGTCAAGGGGTGAAGTCATAAGATAATTCTGTCAGGATGTAACCGCAGAGATAAAGACATTGCGTACTTTCTGACTCTCCAGGAAGGTTGAATGAGATTTCCTGTGTTTACTGTAATTGGTCAAACAGTGGCTCATGCTGATTAAATTATGGCGATGACACTTTCTAATAACCCAGCAGGCTTGAGCACCTAAGAATGCTTTGTCATGGCTGCTTAGCAATCTAGACAGTGATTCAAGAATCACTGCACATTCTTATATTTTTAAGTATGTTTTAAGCTCTAATTTTATACATCCATATATGGCTTGTAGCAAAAGTGTTATTTTCTATTTACTTATAATGCACTATTAAAAAATGCCCCCACTTTGATTGCTATGTTTGAAATTAAGTCTCTTGGAATTCTAATAATGTTTTATTTTTCTTCATTTTTTCCTCCTAAACAAGACAACCGATGTCATGGAAACCACATTTTTATTCAAAACCATATTATAACATTCATAAAAAACAACAGCAATATGTTAGTTTTTTTGTTGTTGTTTTTTTTAACCTGACCTTCAACTCCAAAGTCATGCAGTTAGACAGGGGTTTAAATCTCTGCATAATTCAGGTCAAGCTTTCAGATGTGAAAGGTTTTCAGAAGACTTGGGTTTAAAAATGTCCTAAGATCTTAAAGTTTACCCTTCATTTACAAACATGAAATTGAAATAGCGTAAAAAAACAAGTAAAAATGTTTCAAGTACTTATTAAAGACCTATGGGGAACCATGAAGAAGTTAAGAAAATCTGTAGTTAGGAAAACTGTAAACAAAGCAGATATCTATCCTTTATCATTTTCATCCCTTTATAAAGCACTTTAAAAATCAAAGTGCTGTACAGGTACATACTATGGAATTAAAAATAATCAAGATTATAAAAAGGCAATAACCAAAATGCAAAGTTGATAGTAGTAACAAAAAAATCAGCAATAAAAGGTGAAGAAGAGACAAAGGCTACACTAAAGGTTATCTTGTCTGTTTAAAAGATTAGTTTTTAAAAAGGACCTACAATTTATGTTAGAATAGCAACAGAAAAGTCATTATATAAAGAAAACCAGAGATATACCAAGTTAAAGTAACCACAAACCATGGAGGAGATATAGCAAACATGAGAAAGGTGTGTTTATATTAGATGAGACCAAAATGTATTTTTTTCCACTTAAAATAACCAACTAAGACTGGACATTACCCAGTTTGCCACTTTCTAGCTGCATTCAGGTTTCTCATTCATTTACCCTCACCTCCTCCAGCTTGCATGACTGAACATTTGCTGCAAGCGACTTCAAATTAGGGTCAGATATTCATCACGTCCTCAATGTCAATTTTTTCAGGGTAGAGACTTGAAGCCTGCGAAACGGAACCACGTTTCCATTTTCTGCAATCAAGCTTCCTGTGGTTACATAGCGCATCAAAAAGAAAAACAAAAAAAACAACACACCCTGTTTTTTCTGAACTGACATAAAGTCTTGCCCTGCCTTATGCCTAAACATGCAACTGAATGCATTGAAAGAAAATGGATTGAGCTGTAAATACAAATTGATATTTTGCTCTAATATGTAGTAAAAACCCCAATGTGCATGTGTTAACTTAATGGAAAAGCACAAATGCAGATTTTTAGATTAAAAAATTCCAAAAAATCTGGCTGAATGTGTTTTTCCAATTAAAGCGTCTTCAGTTTGACGCCTTGGCTGCTTATCCACTCACTCCTTCTCAGCTTTATATTGACTCCCCCTCACACTGGGACAATGTGTAAGTAATCCTCTCCCCCTCAAAGGATGGTTGCCTTCTTTACTGACTCCTCCCTTTCTCCTTTATTATTTATTCCTGAGAAAACCCCCGTCTCATAGCAGTAGCCAGTGGGGGGATAATCACACTGCATTCCCCATCACTTAGGTGTTCCCCATTTGTGCAATGATAAAGGATTGCTTTTGTGAAACTAGTGAGAAACTTTCACATCTAATCAGAACATGCATCTCTTAACAAACAAAAAATGTACCTGCACAAAAATAGAATATGTCTCGTTGTTGACGGTGTGCGAGTGGTAAAACTCTCCGTCGTACCACAGGACTTTGCCAATAGGAGAGTTCTCCTTCGTCAACGAAAACATCCACTTTGGATTGCAGCATTCTGTGAGCAGGGTTCTGTGCAGGAAATGGTACATGGTTAGTCTAAAAAATGGGATTTCAACTTGTCCAAATGAGCTGCACAGACACAAAGTTGCAAATCAAAAAGGCGGTTGTCTTATAATAATTAAAAAAAAACCTAAAACAGATGATTCCGTAAAAATTCAAAAAATATCCACTGGACTTGGTTTCCAAGATTTGAAGACGTTTCGCCACCTCTCCAGGAAGCTTTCTCAATTCAAAAATTAAATTCATTTTTGAATTGAGAAAGCAGACATTTTTTTTTTTCCATGTTGAAAAAATGATACTGGCAGAGCAGCAAAGCATATAAAGCAGATTGCTCACCCGGAAAGGGGCCTTGGTACATCTTTAAATAGATATCCTGTGTGCAACATATGGTTATAAAAAAAAAGTCACATTGGAACAAATCAAGCTTTGATTTGGTCATATATAGTTAATTCCACAGTCATACACTTGTATGATTTGGGCAAGTTTTTTGTTTTTTTCTTTTATCATTTTTTGTTTCCAGACTAAAAGTAAAATGAATATTTTTGAAGCGGCTCAGCCCAGAGTCCCTATTTGATTCTGATCAAATATTCTACAAATGAAGCTAAAGATGAGGATAATGGAAAGAAGACCTTTCAGCTACACATTAATTGGAAGTCTCTACCTAATATGTGCAAAAAGCAAGACAAAAATTACAACGTTCTGATTGATGTTCTTCCAACAAACCATTCTGAAATGCAATGCTCTATGAAAGTTGAAAATAAAACTCTTCTTTTCAAAATGTATATTAACTTATATCATGTATTTCTAAAAAATAAAATGGCTGCTTAGTTAAGAAACACAATTTTACATAAAACTCACAATATTATGAATAATCTCAGGCCTAGCTGCAGTGCTGGTTCTAGACCAAATGTATCAGGGGACCAAGAGGGGGCACAGCATGTTTTCATGGGGGCAAAGAAAAGCTTGACATAAAAAACGAGCAAAGGATTAAAATATAGTGAGATAGCTGCATGAGGTGACATTTCTATTAAATGGTTTAATTTAAATTCTATTTCTTATTAGGTCAATTTACATTCATAATTTAGGAATTCTACATATTTTTGACTTAATTTAAGTTGAAATAAATAAAAAAAATCTATAAACTCTGTATAAGAGCATTTTTTTATTTGTTTAAAAAAAGAGAGCAAATGGAAACTGGGATCCTATCTCAATACCACTGAAGCTATCCCCTTATTGTTTTTAAATAATTGCAAAAACAAAATTTGTAAAGAAAACAAAAGGCACAGGCCCCTCTTGGCCCCTGTCTAGAACCACCCCTGCCTAGCTGTATAAATGCTTAATAGAGACTGTTCTATTATTCTAGTTGCATTTCATTCCCAGCAGCCAAATCTTATGAATGATAATAGAGATCTAAGGATGTTTCAGACGCATGTGCGCCTGGAGACCAACCTGTACAGATCGATGCCAGTCTGATTCTTCTGCCACACTTCCCCCAGCCCCAGCACCTCCTCCACAATCTCTTTGTCGCTCGGGAGTCTGTAAACGGGGTAAACGTAGAACCATCCGAGCACCAGCACGCACAGAGCGGCCCACGCCGACAGCTTGGCCCGGTAGCATCGCGCCAACATCTTCCTCCCAGTCTTCTATAGAAACAGCAGCAGCGAGGCGGTGCGAACCCCGCAAAAAGCGCAGAATCAGAGCCGCTCCTTGCCTCCAATCTCGGGTCAGAGCATTTTTAAGTGGGGTACAAGCTGCTCGGTGATCCGGTTGCTTGGTTTATGCATCTGACTGGAAACCCGGTTATGAATTAGATGAATTAGAATAAGTGAAGAAAAGGAAGGAGCCTGTCCCTGCGGCTTTCTGCTTGGCGGTGCATCAGCACCATCACCCCAGGCTGGCTTATTGGGAGGAATCAGACGGACCTCCAAATCAAAGCCTTGGCGTATGCTGGTCCGCTCCGTATTTCGACCTTCAGCACTGAAAAGCGATCCTTTCTACGGGGTTCGAGGCTCTTTAAGGGCCCCTTGCCTAAATCAATGAAGGTGAGCTGCACAGATGCAGATTTCCCTTGTCAACACATACCCCTTTACCGAGACAGTAAAAAAGGAGGTGCGTTAAGATGGATGGGTTTAAGGCGAATGTTGCTTTCAAAATAAAAGCATGCGGTCAAACGCCCCGAGCATCTGGGCTAAAAACTCAGCTCAAACATCTTGTATAAATTGTGGAATGACAGTGATGGTGCTGGGATTGGGTGCCATATTTCCCATATCAAAAACTTCCACTGGCCAAAATCACCTCATAATTCTATTGATCTATTGACAGAAGCACATTCATTTCGGTACTTTATTTTTTCAGTTTTGTTGTTTTTTTACTTTTTTTTTTTTTATATGAACATATAAGTATTTCATTTTCTCGGTTTCATTGTTTTCTACTTTGCTGTTTTTATAAATGCTCTAGAAATACAGTTGTAAGGCATACAGAATGTTCTTAAATTCAATGGCTGGGTCGCAATTTCCCCATTATGCTCTTTGTAATAAAGATTTACACTCTCAGCTGAATTAATTCTTGGTAAAAAGAAATAAGTTGTTTTGTCTTTTTAACTAAAACATCCAGGCTATAGTACAATATTTTTAAACTTTGTGGGAGATTGTTTTATTTCCTGGTGAAACTGAACCAGTGATTTGGGGCAAAAGGGTTGTTTAGCACAAAAACAACAAACCAGAAACAAAACAACAGCAAAAAAGAAACACATACTCTCTCTATGTGTTTCTAATATTGTGCTACGAGGTTGTTTTTCTTGAGATAAAATGCCTACGATGAAAGGGAATTAAATATTTATGTGATGCATTAAAATTTAATACATCACATTAAATTGTTGCATCGCTGACAATTTATTGAAATGGCAGCGAAGCAAATTAGCAGACCAAGGATTTCACCAGTAAAAACATGTGCTTTGCTGCAGGATAACCACAGTAACCCAACAGTTACCCAAAATATGTTCATTTCCTACCAGGCAGTGTGTATGTGTGCTCTTTCATCCTTTAGGAAACTTGTATCATATTGCACTACCGCCATCTGCAGGCTTTATGTAGGCAACAACAACAACAGATAATATCTATAAAATTATTACAATTAAAGGCATTTAATCATCTCTGTATAATCTGTGAATATTGTGGGCGTTGGTCTGAATATGATTATTATTAGACTGAATGTAATAAAATGCTTTTTTTGAGAAGCACCAACAACTAAATAAAAAAATCAGAGAACATTTAATGTTTTTGAAAGCAGTAACTGTGCTTCTATTTCCTCTTGACCAGGCCTGAGTTTAAACTTTGTTAAGGCTTAATTCCTTATGGCCAGAGACCATAGACTGGGCATAGACTGAGCAAGTCTAACATTCATCTTTTAACCGCCAGCCAGGCTTTCTCTTTGGATGTGTGTCTTGGGCATTGATAGCTTCTCATACCTTCAATGTTCCCTTTGGCCTTTTCTCAGGGCAACACTACAATACACAATAAATAAAACAAACAAACAAACAACTGCATTCTTGACCGAGTCAAATACCAGAAACTTCTCCAAGTGAGGTGTAGAGAAATATGGGGCAGTTGGGGCTCCTAATGGAACCATGCTGGGATTAACATAGGGCAAGAGTCAAGGTTGGGAGGGTGGTGAAAGAGATGGCATGGCAGGCCACTTGTGTGAAGTCATGTCCAGCTGTTCTCTGTGGTCTGCAAACAGTGGTGTTACTATGGAGGACTGTGCAAAATAAGCTGCAAATGCTGGTAGTTACCAACTGTTTAACTTAAAGATAAAGTATTGATAAATAAATAAAATATAAAGTGAACAAGCTTTTGTAAAAATACAGACCAACATAAAAATATAAGAAGGAATCATAACCTGACTGAATAGGAGTTAGTAATGAGCAAAAGATTCTTGCCTATAGGGTGAAGCTAAATCCCTGACAGGTGTACTGATTAATACAAACTGAAAACTGCAGAATATTACAGATTAAACCAACTTTAAATCTGAAGACCATGACAGGATCCATAATTTTTTTTAAACAAATCCTGGAATAGTATTCAAATACAAATTTTGCAAGAAAATTAATTGATTCTATTTACATTCAAACAGAAGGCTTGCAGGTCAAGAGCAAAAATGTTCAACATTTTTCCAAGATTTATCTTGTTTATTCAGCTCTGAAACACATGAAATATTCAAGGAAATTCCGCTGTGATACTTTTGGGCAAGAAAGAGGAGAGAGAATGTCTTAAAAGGTGCAGGTTAAATGAACAAAACTCTAAACTCATTCAAAAAAGGCAGAGAAGTGAGAATGGCATTGAGTGACAAGTGAGACCAATACAAAAAAGTATTGGCAAGGTTTAACCAAAATGTTTAAAATGTGTAAAACAAATCAATAACAAAGGTTTTGTGTGGTAAACATGCAATCTTAGCAAAAAAATAACGGAACAAAATAAAAATATGACATTAAAACACAAAACACAAAGAATAACACCAATATTTTGTATAAAAACAAAAGACAGAGATTATAGGCCACCATTGAATATTGTCAGAATAAAACATTCCTGAGGCCGACATGACTGGTTTGTTTGGAATGGATGGTACCAGATGTGAACAGGGCCAAGTAATGTAAAAAAAAAATAAAGATCAGGCTTAGTTATGCCATCTTATTGTCGCGGCTCAGAACAGGAAAAAAACAAGGATTTAAGACAGACAGACAGTCGGATAATTCAAAAGCATTTATTTAAAAAACAATGGATCTGCCGTAAGAGCAAGGACGTCTAAGGCAGAAACCTCTGCAGGAATGAAATACAGGTTAGGAACCACGTTAATCTGGTGGAGGAAGATTATGAATGTGTGAGTAACTAAGCTGGTCTTAAAGTTTAGTGCCCAGAGAACAAGGCTGATTCAGGCAAGACGTGAAGGGCGCGACCTCAAGAGTCCGAGATGCTGAAGACCCAGAGGACAGATAACAAGCAGGAGATCAGATCTGGGCAGATCAAGGAAGGCAGGTCATTCCAGAGGGCAAAGCCAAAGCTGGGGATAAGGATGTGCTCAGGATACAGAACCAGGAGATCAGAAGTCTGAAGAGGTTTCCGAAGGGAAATTCAGAACGGTGACAGGAAGCAGCTCCAAGTCCAGCAAACAGGCAAAAACAAGTCCAAAGGCAGGTCAGGCAAACAGATCAGATGCGAGCAGAAAGGCTCAGTGGTTGAGAGGCAGAACAGGTCAGGTTCAGGTAATCAGAAACAGTAAGGTAACGCTTAAACACTCTAAACACTCGTTCAATAATAATAGCCTGATGACTGGAAGAGAACATGTCAATACAGATCACACGGGAATAGGCAGGTTCAGTGGTTGAGAGGCAGAACACGTAATCAGAAACACTAAGGTAAAGCTGGCACACTCTCCCGACTGACTCAAGAATAATCTGGTACTGATGACTGGTAGCAGTCAGGTTAAATAGAAGCTGGAGCCTGTGGAGAAGCTAAACGGTAATGAGAAAACAGTTAGAGCTAAGCAGGTGAAAGAAATGAGTAATCCAGGCAGTCATAACCACTAAGATCATGACACTTACCTGTCCTGTCAGTTTGATTGTTCAGCAAAAAGTTTATAACCTAATGACCGTAATTCATGATTACAATGATAAAAGGAAAACACTTTCAAGAAAAAAAAAAGTAGAGCTTTTGCAGCCTTCTGTTTAGGCACTTAAAATGGTTGTCAGCTGATAAATGAATCTACACCAATAAATGTTTTTTGGTTCAAAAGAATTAAGAAATGAACAATGCAACGGATTATTTTGCTACTTAATCTTGCACTTTCTATAATACACAATTTTCAGCAGAAGCCAATGTGAGTCCCTTTCCATATTTTGTTTTGATTGTTCTTTTTTCGTATTCTCCAAATGTTCCCAACCAGTTATAAGCAGCAACAATTGAAAGTGCACTAGAAACACCCTACCAATACTAAAGCCTTCTCCCTTTTTATTTTGAGAGGCTGTGTGTCTCTGTAGCGACAGTAGCAGGGTTGGGTTGCATCAGGAATAGCTCTCCCACCTGCTGAGGTTCACTGAATAACAGAGCATTTGTTGTTCCACGTAGCTTTTCTCCTTTTATTGGCCTTGGATGCATCCCTGGCTCTCATCTTATTTCTGTTTAAAGTGGCTGGCACCATGTAACCTTAAACTATCTGTAGCTCCAAAATAGGAACTTCAGCAATCGATGCTCATCTGTTATTGTACCATGCAAAGGAACATCACCTCAAATATTATATAAAAAGATTATCACAAAAACAACATAAATAAGCTTTTTCAAAAATAAATAAATGACCTAATGAACTTGTAAACAAATACCTTTGTTCTCAGTATTTTCCTAACCCCTCTGTTTACGAAAGGTTTATCATAGCATCTCATGTTCCTCTAAGAAGGCTAATGCTCTGTTTATCAAAAACACCTTAGCGCTCACATCAGCTTTATTCTAGTTTGAGCTTCTGGAAAGATTAGAAACTTGATGCTCCGGGGTTAAGTGATTTACAAGAAGTGTCACAGCTCGGGTCAAGATTAGCACTCGTGCTCCAAAATCTTCACAATGCCATGCCAAAGAACTGTTGAAAGTGGCTACAAATAGAAAAGAAATACTTATTATAGAACAGACGGAGGTTAAAGAAAGCCATTTTTTTTTTTTTTATAATGAGAGCACAGCTGGCATTTCTGGAGACTGTAAACGTTGAAAAGCTTTTGCTGCTTTTGCTAATTAACTCAAACCCTACGTTCTTGATTAAGGTTGAGGTCGTAGATCACCTTGTACCTTGAGTTATTTGTACCGTATTGAGGTGATGAAATTAACCAGTCAGAAAAGCAACATAAAGTGCAAACATGTCTAACCATAGAGTGAGTTACTGTATGAATTAATATTTATTTTTTCTTTTATTAAATGCAATGTATCATAGAATTCACAGAGTATTTGTCGGTGAATAATCCATAGAGAAATCAATGCATCCTTCCATTCATCTAGGATCAGAAGTAAATCTGCACAGAAAGACACTAACTTGGTTTCAAACCTAAGACCTTCCTGTTTGGCAGCAGAGCTTAAAAAATATTCAAAGTCACCTCTTTATTTCTTATGAAAAATTAAAAAAAAGTAACTTATTTAAAAATAAAGATAGGAGATATTAATCTCAAACAATTATAATTACATTATACTATTAAACAGCTTTTGAACAAAAATAAATTGACTGCTTCAGCTTCCATTATGTTTGTATAACAAATTTTTTCTGAACTGTATGATAAATTAAGTTGTGTGGTATCATAGATTCGTAATAGTTGTGTTTGTCAGAAATAGGATTTTATTTATTTTTTCTCTACATTTCCAAATCTGCTTTAAAATGTAAACTTTAGCTCAGGCTTGATAATAAGATTGATGTCCTTAATGCAGCTTCAGGTATGAGTTATTGCTTAACCTCTTTTCTCTATTTAAATTAGCGTTAGGGTAATATAGCAAATATAGCTTTCATATGAAGCAATCATTCCACTGTTTTTCCCTAAAGATATCTTAGACAGCTGTAAAATTAACTATACTAAAGTGAGAAGATCATATATTTAGTTATAAATAAATAGATCCTTTTATTTTTTTCCCTATAAATATGAATGAATGAATGGATTAAATTTCATTTCAGACAGTTATTAAATAATAATAGATTTCAGAAAATATTTGAAACAAACAAAAATGTACCACACCAAGAAAAGTGATTGATAACAGGTTAAACAGGTTTTCAATTCCAAAACACTTCAATTAATTTGAACATAACAGAAGCTAATAAAATAAACAAAATGTTCCACTTAATAAACTTGCTAGTATATACAGCCTGAGATCTGACATTGATTATTGATTTATTAATGATTATTTATTACTAATTCATGTAAATTATCTGTAAATATTTGACATATCCCTTTTCCCTCTAATTGGAATTAAATTGCCTTAATTGACCTTACTGTTTACCTTCTCTGTTTTGGATTCAAAGCACCAAATTAAAAAAAAAAGTCTGAAAATGTGGGATATTACTAGTCTTTTAAATTGATTGTGCACTTTGCCCTACTTCTATTCATTAAAAAAAACATTTCTTTATAGTTTTATTAATTATGATTTGAACTGCCATTAACTTTGTTATTTCTCTTTTTGTTGTTCCTATAAAAGGTGCACCTGACATACAGGTGCTGTGTTTGTTTGTCTTTTTGCAGAAAAGGATTATTAATTGAGATTTTGCTGCCATAAGCTCTGTAAATATTCTTTTTTTTTTTCTTTCCATACAAATGAATATTTATGAACTGTTTTGTGTTGCTGCCTATTAATTGGGTCCTTAAACTTACTTCTTTCTTTTTTTCTACAAATGTCACATGCATAGTCAGGATATTTAAGGACAAGGTATTAACTCAAACACATTTAGCATTAAATCTGAATTTAATTAGTTTTTACCATGGTTTCTATTAAAATGGATTGAATGTGACTTTTTGATTAGTTTGTATTTGAATATGTTTAATGACAGTTGTTCTGAAGTAATTAAAAGCATTTATGAATTGAAATAAAATTGTGTTATTGTGATTGTTTTCCTTCAAAGAGACTTAAAATGTCATTTTAGATGAGAGGGAAGAGGGGCCACGATTGGGGTAGAGGCCAGGATAGAGCATTATTCTTTCAGTGGAGTTATTACAGTGTTAGAGAGCTGATATTCCCCTCTTGGTCTGGTGCCAGAGCATTCTTCAGACCAGACGTTATATTTACTGTCCACTCACCACCCCTCTCGTATAAAAAGCTTTCCATTGTCTGGAGCAGCTGCTGTTTGACTCAACGCGTCGGAAGACATTCATTCAAAGGTAAACTCATTTTGGATTTGGTTTTAATTATTATTTATTCTTGATCTGCGCTGCTTTTTCTATCTTTTTGATTCAGATTAAACTGTTTTTGGAGGTTGTGCATCTAGAGATATGTATCAAAACTTAAGTTTATCATGAGCTTTAATAATCATCAGACCTTAATGGCTACAGTTCACCAGGTTTAATGTAGTTAAACATTTTTCTCTATTCATGTATGTATTTATCACTCTCGATCTGCTGAGAAGATGCACATGCAAAATCTATGCTTTAACTTAGATGATAAAAGCAAACTATTATTTCAGAGGCTGGGCACAAAACCTTGATGGAGCTAAACACAGGACACACAAAGCAGTTCTTGTTTGCTCATGCTTTAATGAAAAGGAATTGAGGGTCACAGTCTCTCAATAGATAATAATACTTAGAATAATGATAGAAATTGTGAATTTTTTTATGAAATATCATTTATCTGTATCATTTCCCTTTTAGGTGTTTCATTCTGTGATTACAGGTGAACAGAGGTGACACAATCCTGCTTCTACTCATTTTCATATTATTCTTATACAGTCTAAAATGTTGGTCTTTATATGAGCAGTGTCATTTATTCTTGTTTGTTGTTTCAGGACCTCCAAAGATACACAGCCATGAATCCCAAAGGGGATAAGGTGAGCCAGCTATGTTCCACTGTGTTAATCCTCTCTGCATGGACAGAGGACACATTGTCCTTACAGACATGGCAAAGATGTGGCAGCGGTTATCAGTCAAAATTGCCATCGACATCCCTGAGAGCTTTCCGCTTGACTTCATCCTAATAATAAAGTGTTATCTTTACACATGTGGCTGCAGCGAGTGCTGCTGAACTTCTATAGGCATTGCTTTAGATTAAACAGTTGACAACTTGCTTGGTCATTTAAGTGATTGAAAAAAAAGATCTAAGTTAAAATGTTTAGCAGTTGAAAAAATATACAAGTTTAAGAACTGAGCAGAAACATCTGATTTGTTCAGCTTGTGTTGTGTAATTACACTGACAAATTTCTTTTCCCACAGCCGAAGTCGAAGATTTCGGCTTCCCGTAAGCTCTCCCTCAAAGTGAGTGTCAAATTTTGAGTTCTTTTTATGTTTTCTGACTACTACATCCAGATATACTGCTGTCATTCTCTTTAGATAACCTGGTAACTTCATAGAGGACATAGCAAAAGTGTTTCCTTTGATCTTTTTTTCAAGTTCAAATAAAAAAAGAGATTTTACAGAGTTTGGTAACAGTTTAAACTATAAATGTTTTTAGACATTTTTACAAATAAAATCTTGAAGGTCCTCCCTCTTTATCAATTCTTTTTATAACCATTATTCCCTGCAATTAAAGTTGCCTATAGTCGTGCAAAAGTGTCTCTACTAGCATTGCACATCTAAACAGATCACATTTTATCACCATCTTTATTGCAAGATATTTTCATATAATTCAGATTGGATAGAAAGCATAAACAAGTAGGAATTCAGCTTTCATGCTTGGAAAAAAAAGGCTTTCCATAGAACAATACTGCCACTACTATACTTCACTGTGTGATGGTGAGCATTGTCAGCTTAAGCCAGAAACACAATTTTTTATATAGGTGAGAATGTTCAATTTTGGTCTCATATTACTTGGCTTGTAGGAACCTGAAGGCAAGGCTTCTTTAAAAAAAAAAAAAAAAAGATTTCTTCTTAACACCCTTCCAAGACTGTCAGTAGAGGACTTATAATTGTCCTGTTGACAGATTTCCACATTTCATCATTTTCTTAATCTTCTAAAAACCTGAGGTCTGAACACCTGAGTTTGCATTTATTACAAACAGCTTAAATCTACACACTACTTAAATGACCTTTGGATGCTATAAATAGTGCTACAGTTTATTTAGTATTAAAGAAAAGAGGGATGGGCACATATGTCACCTTTTTTCAGATTTATCTTGATAGAAACAGTTGAAAACAATGTACACTTTCCCTTAGGCACAACTTTATATATTTCCTTTACATGAAATCTATAGAAAACACATCAAAGATAATGCTTGTAACAGAGAAACATAAGAAAAGGTTAAAAGGGAAGGAAGTAGGGGCGGGGTTTTACTTTTCAATGGCTCAGCCTTCTGATTGTCAACTGTTTCACCTGATCAGATACTGCTCCTCCAAAAAGCATGTGATGATCTGGAGAAGGAGCGACAAGAGCGGGAGGAGGAGAAGGGGCGCTACCTGAAGGAAAAGTTGCCTCCTCTGCAGCTGTCTGGTTTGTCACTAGATGAGCTCCAAGTAAGACATATATGACTTTTCATGCTTAACAATAAATTACTTATTTTACTAATATATCTAAACATCCCTTTAAGAAACTCTGCAAACAGCTTCATGAAAAAATTGACATTGTGGATGAAGAGAGGTATGACTGTGAACATAAAGTCAGCAAACACAACAAAGATGTAAGTAACTACTTTATAATGTCTTACATTTGTAATATACGTATCTCTACATTCCTGCAAAGCATGAGCCCAAACAAAAAGTTTCATTTTTAAGTCGGCTTAGTCTAAGTTTTTTTTTTATTATTGAGGAAGAAAAAAACAAAAATAAACCTATAAGACATTGCAAGAAAAACTGATTACTTCCTGGGTTATGCTACATGATCCCAATAGGATTCAGGCCAAGGAACACAAATTTTGTGTTCTTGTTTTCTTTGTCATTCAGAAGCAGACTTGCAGTTTGTTGGATTATTGTTCTTCTTCAGAACCCAAATGCATTTTAGTTCTAGGTCACAAACAGATGGCCGGACATTTTCCTTCAGAATTTTTTAGTAGGTTGCAGAGTTCATAGTTCCAATGTTTCCCATACATTTGTAAGTAATGGTATGATATTATTACTATTTCAGAGGAAAGTTTATACTTTATTTCAGATGCAATAGGAATCAAGACTTCTTGCTTTAAGAGAATGGATGCAGGTTTAGAATTTTATTCCCTTCAAAAAAAAAAAACTGCACTTTGTGTTTGCTTTTGTTGGCTTATATTTAATATTTGAATTAATTCTACTTTTAGAAAAACTAAATATGCAAATGAAGATATCATGAAGAAGGAAAATATGTTTCTCTTTGGTGGAAATTAGATGATGGTGTCTTGTATTCATATGTTATTGATATCTTAGTATCTGTTTAATTTTTTTTTTGTTTATTTTTTAATAACTTTTGAAATAAAATGTTTTTCTATTACTTTTTTTTAAAAACATTTACTCAATACATGAATGTAAATAAAATTGTGCCATATCTGGGGGGTTAAAGGAAGAAATATATAGGTATTATAGTTCAATATATGTATTAATAAACAAGAAAAACATTTTTCTAGATTTCAAACGTTTCTTCAGATTAGTTATTTTCTCTGTTAATATCAAAATAAAAATCTGAATAAAATCTGAGTATTGGAAATTATTAGAAGGAAATTAACAGGATATTTACATATTTTTTCAAATGTTGCTTTAGATTCATGAACTGAAGCTGAAAGTCCAAGATCTTGGAGGCAAGTTTAAAAAACCTGCCCTCAGGAAGGTGAGGGTCTCTGCAGATGAGATGATGCGAGCTCTACTGGGCTCCAAACACAAGGGCTCAATGGACCTGAGAGCAAACCTGAAGTCTGTGAAAAAGGAGGATGTCAAACAGGACAAGGTGCAAAAGCAATACTTGATTTGCCTTTTTTGTCTTTAGATCAGAAAATTATTTTGATTTAAAAACAAACAAAAAGGTCTTAGTATTTTTTCTCTGTTTTAAAGCATTTCATCCTCTTTCCCAGGTGCTTACCAGCGAAGTGGGTGACTGGCGTAAAAATGTGGAAGCCATGTCAGGCATGGAGGGCCGTAAGAAGATGTTCGACACTGGTGGTGGAGCTCAGTGAGATGCTGCAGCCAGCCAAGACATGATTCAGTCCTCTGAGAGCAGAAAAAAAAACATGCCTTACTTACCTTAAAGCTAGCTGACATTTACTTAGAGGTTTTCCATTACAATCCCTCAAAGCACATGTATACTAAGATAAGTAGAGACCCAGCATTTCTTTTTTATTTTTGTTATGAAACCCAGCAAGCAAAGACAAGTTTAATAAAAAGATACAGTTAACATCTTTCATCCATGTCTGTGGTTGATTTTATCATGTTTCACTTTCCTGAAACCTGTTTATCTGCAGTATGTGATGCACTAATGAGAGCAATGAGGTAGTGATGAATAATAAAAAAAATATATAAAAAACAGGAAGGGGAAAGAACAGATTTTCCCTGCATCCCAAATAGAGCCCTCTATTTCTATGTTTGTAATTGCTAAATTAGCAAATAAAATAAAGCATTAAATCTCTTCAGTGTACAAAAACATTACTTTGAAAGGAAGAAGTTTCAAGTAAAAGCCCAAAAATGAACAAATTTATAATTGTTGCTTTATGCTTTGCTTGCATTACTATAGTTCCTCTGCATGTGTCACTGGGCTGAGTGGTCTTCAAATGACTCAACACCCAAAAGTGTCATTTAAAGTATGACAGTAATGCCAATGATAGCCTTGTGTCCCTCAAAGTGTGTGATGCAGACTTTTATGGACGGGTGTGAACGAGTGGGTGTGAAACAGGCTCACTATAGTAAGTGAAAGCAGCTTCAAAATGTTTTCTCTGAACACATAAAGACTGTCGACCAAAACTAATAAATCCTCTTTACGTTTTTAAAACCTATAATGTAATAAACGCCCAAACTTGTTGTATTTGTAATTTTTGATTTGTGATAGTCTAGCAAAAAGCAGAACATAATGGTTAAGTGGAAAGAAAACTTAGCTTTTAAATTGCAGATTTAAACTTTGAAAAGTGTAAAAAACATGTTTCTAATCCCTTTACCCTACCACCCCTAAAATAAAACCCAATGCAAATCAATCTCAGAGTCTGGCATGAAATTAGGAAAAACTTTTCATCAAAATAATTTCCATTTGCTAAAAAGGTGACAAACAATATCAGGATTAGAAGTGCTGACCTCCATTAGTCTGGTTTATCCTTAATTCAAAAGTACACCAGTATAAACATATTCACAGACACGTTTAACTTTTTTAACATGCTGGTTAAAGCTGGGATTTTTTATTATTTGCAAGTAAATGACTCATGCACTGAGCTGAAAGGGTACATCAGAAAAGATGAATGCAGGAAAAAAAGGCGCTGATGCCTCTTTATAAATGCAAACTTGGTCTAAATGTTAGCTTTGCTGATACTGTAGCAGACAGCTAAACGTAATTTTAATGGGATAATAGACCAGGGGAATTTTGTAAAGTAAAGATAATCAGTAGTAAAAACTTTACATTTTTTTTTTTTTTTTAACTTTTTAAACACATGTTGGATAACCAGTCTTCACTATGGCTGCTCTCAATCCAATTCCCTTTAATTAGGCCTGCCTTTCCCAGTGGTTGAAAATTAACCCTAACCATTATGTTCTTATCACCATGCTCTACTGAAGGGTAAGTGCTTCCGGAGTTTCCTGTTTCTCCTTTTTTCATAAATTAAGACTCAATCACTGTGGCCCAACAATCAGTTCTTGTTTCATGTGACCACAAAATAGAAAGTCAGAATGATTTTCTTTGCCAAAGTGTGTGCTGTTATATTGAGATGAAATGTGGAAGCTAGCATGTGAATGAATGTTTGGGACTTCCAAGAAAAAATTACTGATTGTCAATGAAGACACTTTTTCTCCATAAAAAAAGCGTTGACTATAAAGTATTAAACAGACAAAAACTTGAGCAATATTTTCATAAATACTTTAGTAATGCAGTTATGTGGGAAATTATGGTGTATCTGGAAATTCTGGCAGTCTGGGTAAACAAGTGATTTAAAATATTTATAATAGGGTAAAAGCAAACACAAGGTGTGACAGGGGTGTTAGATTAATTAACTGTTGTCACCCATTACCTTTACTCTCCTCATTATTGATCCTCCCAGTGATTGATGGATACAACTAAATCTTTCCAGGCTTTATTAAGATGCAGCTGTTAAAAAGCTCTTTCTTGTTCTAAATAAGTAGAGCATTTGAAGAACAGCAACCATAATGTAGAGGTTCTTTGTTTAGCTAATTTTTTTCCTTTTATATTATTCTATATTATATTGGTTAAAGTAAAAACTGTGATTTCAGGAGAAAGATGCTGACATTGCAAGTGGAACCCCAACCCTCGTTAGCTCATGGTCTCCTCAGAGCTACTGCTGGAGCAGCCTGTCGGAAAATATTAATGGTCTTGCATCCATGAAAGAATAGCTGTTCTCAGAGTCTTGACACGTGGCTTTTTTTTGCAGCTCAGAGCTTCAGTCCTAAAGTTCAAAGATTCTTTGTGGATTTTGACCAGAGCTCCTAAACCTTTCATAAACCTCGGTCTATGCTGACACTTAAAGAAACTGCTGACAGAGAAGAAACTGCAAAATTTGGACTTAAAAAAATCCGTATCCCTCCTACTTCTAAAACGTCTTATATTTACCTATCTTTTTCTCTTTTGTCTTCACTTTCTCATTGACTTTGCAATGTTAGAAATCAATAATGAATAATGAATTTTACCCTTTACTATGCAGCCTATAGAAACAGCCTGTAGTATGTTTGTTCTCTATTTGCCCCTCTGTACAATAAGGAACTGGGGTGTTGATTTGCTTCATTAGGCTGATATAAAATACTGAAATTAACTAGTAGTTTTTTTTTTTTTAAACACAAATACAGATACTATGTGCATTTTATTGCACCAAAACGAGAATCTAAAAAAAAAAAAAAAAAAAATGCATGTTACGATTATGAAACTGTGAACTACATTCTCACTGCATGAAAGGAAGTGACGTTTTGCACCGGCTCCCTACTTCAGAGCTGTTTAAGAGCAAATAACACCCAAACATAAAACAAATACTTTTCTATAACAATTTAATGTTTGATCACATTTGATTTATGTATCGTATGAATTTATTGGTGCTCACAGATGCTTTTTTGAGAATAAGAAACATTAATAAGGAGGCACTTGCTGAAAAACAAAATAAATGTAAATATTTTTTACTAAAGTAAAGTTTTTAGTGATGTTTACTAGATGGAAGATCGACCTACTTTATTGCTGCAACTAGAGCCATGGAATAGAATAGAATAGAATAGAATAGAATAGAATAGAATAGAATAGAATAGAATAGAATAGAAACGCCTTTTATTGTCCCACAATGGGGAAATTCTGGTGTTTACAGCAGCAAAAAGATTATAGAAAAAATGGTGACACAAATATGAATCTTAGAAAATTGTATAAGAATAACATAATAGTAAAGAGTTAAAAAACAGTCAATAAAATATTGTACTGTAAAGTGTCTTAACAATATAAATACTGCACACCTGGCGAATAGATAACCAATATACAGCTATGGACATTTTTACATGAATGGATATTTGAAAATAGCAGCAACATCAGAGATGTGCAAATTGACAGCAGCATCTTATTTAACTGTGGTCACTTTTCAGTTTTAACACTTCAAGCTACTTGTTAAAGAGCAACTTAGGTTTCAGTATTCAGTCACTGCCTTAAAATAGATTCAAATGTGGGCACATTTACAAACATCAAGTTATGATATCCAGAGTGCATTTCTTTCAGCACCTTGTAAAGGAGACTCTGCAGTGTAAAGGTCTTGAAATGGCATTTGCTATGGATTCATTTCCCAAACCTGGAATCAGGCAGAGATCATGTGATGCAACTAACAGATCACTTTGAAATTAGGTAAGAGTACCACTTGGTGGCAGCAAAGAGCTGCAGGAACACAGTGGTGCTTGTAATTGCAGTTTAATTTTGGAATCCAGCAGCCTTATTTAACATATTGGCACACAGTTGTACAAACAGTCCTAAAATAAAAGTTATTGTATACAACAGGTACACAATAACAAGACAAGAAAATTTAGAACAACACAACACAGTTAGTTTGGTTATAAAAAATGCGGTTATGAAAAAACTCCTTTGAAAAACATTTGTCTGCTATCTAAGCAGCAATCATTTATGCTGCTATTACAAACAGTAAGGTAAGATAAAAAGGCATGTCCAAAGGTTACTTTTAAATGATACAACAAATAGTTATGACTCTTAATCAACCATGAAGTGGTGTCTGTACCATTACTATCTGTTTGGGAGGCATGAAAATATCAAGCATTTTACATTCCATCAAACATACATATGTAGAACTTTTCAACATTATCCTGCCAAAAATAATGTAATCACATGAAGTATATCTTTTTTTTCAAAGCAGTACTGGCTTTTTAAGGCCCTACTCATCTTTGATGGCGCCTACCACAAAGAAGAGAACTAGGAACATTTGAAAATTGGTGAGGTATACCACAGAGAGTGCAGGAGGAGTCGGTGGAGAAGCGGCATAAGACAGATACCGCAAATTAGGAATAAATATGTGGAAAAGTTTTATCCACCATGTGTCCCTCTCCTATTAAAAAAAAAAAACCCTATGCACCTTTGTTAGAGGGTCCACATTGGATGTTTTGGTACAATAATTAAAATGAAATCACAACAGAAAGAGTTTCCTGTAAACAAAAAGCAACCGTCCATTTTTGCAATTTTGCATTTTGCATTTGCATTTTGCAATGTGACAATTATAACAGACTTCTAGACTACTTTGATTGATGGATGATGGATTATTTGCTAAAAAAATAAAGTGAAAGTGAATGGTGATCCAGGCTGTGTGATCTATTAAAGCAACTTTAGTTACTTTAACACTGGTGTTTCATGCTCTGCTGTGAACAGGCTGGGGCAGCTGAAACAGCAAACAGGAAGGAGCGAAACATCACATAAATACAGAGTGCAACAAAAGATAAAATGCAGTTAGATATGGGCTCTTTATTACTTATGACCTTCAGATTGTATTTATATTGCGAAAATATTATCTAACAAGTAAAACGATTTTGGGAAATTCCTCCTTCAAATGATCGCCTGCAGAAAAGATTCTTTAGAATAGAATAAATAGCATCAGACTGTTAGGTTTAATGGCTAAAACTAACAGAAAAAAGCACAATCACACACTCATTTCAAAATGCTATTCTAAATCTAGAAGTGTTAATTGGATTTTACTCAAGGGATTATTCAAATTAGCATAAACAGACAGT